CTCCGTTCGGATATTTTCAAACGGGAAACCATTGCAAATTCATTCGCAGGTAACTCGCCCGCGAGTGAAAGGCCAAGGCTGGCTTTACGCACATTAATTTTGCGCCAATTTGCTTTGCTTACTACATCATTGAACTCTACACAGAGATGCATATATAGTTCAACGCGGGGTCAATGTCAATGATCTATATACACGCCATCGCCATGTTGCTATGACGACGTTGAATGTTTCAAGTTGTCGCGTTCTACCAAAAGTTCGCCAAAACGTTGTTGTAGCTCGTGCTCACGTTCTGTTTGTCTTTGCACGTCTTCTTCCAGTGCCTGCGAGATAGAAAGATTATTATATCGTCACTAAATTAATTTATTACTAAAAGTTAACGACATGTATGGACATCGAGGCAGTTGCAAAAAATGTTCCGAGAAGTTGCAAAAAATACAACTATAGGCTCTCTGGCAGGAAGAGAACCTGCATTCTGGTGCAGCACTCCAACCAACTGAGCTACAGAGAGACAGTTGTCGAGCTCTAACCAACTGAGCTACAGAGAGACAGTTGTCGAGCTCTAACCAACTGAGCTACAGAGAGACAGTTGTCGAGCTCTAACCAACTGAGATACAGAGAGACAGTTGTCGAGCTCTAACCAACTGAGCTACAGAGAGACAGTTGTCGAGCTCTAACCAGCTGAGCTACAGAGAGACAGTTGTCGAGCTCTAACCAACTGAGCTACAGAGAGACAGTTGTCGAGCTCTAACCAACTGAGCTACAGAGAGACAGTTGTCGAGCTCTAACCACGAGCTACAGAGAGACAGTTGTCGAACTGTTGGCGATTACTCGAAACAGCACTCTAACCAACTGAGCCACAATGCATACCTGTAATCGTTTCGGTATTGAATTTGTTTCCTGATTCCTCAGTTCTTCAAAAGTTCTTTTCTCGACATAAGCTTGCTCCACTTGATCATGAACATCTGATAATTGCTTCACCAAACCAACAGCGCGAGACTGAACGAAAAATGACACAGAATTATAATCAGGATACCCACAGCCTGCAAAGCGGGTGTTTTGGGTGGGCCTCGTTTACCTGGTATCCTCCTAAAAGAACTTTCAATTTCTTTTCTATTCTCGAAGCCTTCTTCGCATCTTGAGCCATTTGCGAGCGATTGAGCTAGGGACAGAAAATATTAACTTCGTGATATAGAATAACCTGTTCTGATGTATGTACTCAGGTGAAATTATTTAAGATGATGTTAGTCTGATTATGTGCACTGAAAAGTTTGCTGACCGCAACTTTACCTCGAGATGTTTTTCAAGTGATTCCAATCTATCTTTCTTGCTGGCCAACGCAGCTCTTGTGTATCGCTTTTGTGACGGTAAAAACATGACCTAGTGGGGAAAATTAATTGGAACAAATGACATACTGATTCTATGCTGCTCAAGACTACCTTCTCATTCCTTTCGAGATAAGAAATTGGGAATAGGTGGGCTTCAGTCAACGACAGCAAATAATGGTCAAGTTTAGCAGCTGATGGTATTTTGCTGCCAGTAAAAGAAATTGTATTATCTCAAACTCATTAATAATTCATGAGTAAATTAACCAACCATATTGGTTTATTTTGCTTACATGATAATACTGGATGCCTGGTGTGAAGTATGTTCATTCAGTCCTAGGACTGGATCGGAATTAAATCAGTCTAAGTAGTGATTTATTCGTATGAGATCTCATTTCAAATCCTCCAATTCGGACTGGACTAGATTTCAACTCCTTGCATTTTGATCTTGGCTTTGCCTCGGTCTGGATGAAATTGCGCGCGGATTTGAAATCTAATCCAGTCCTCGTAGTCGGAGTTGAAATATTACTTCTAGGCAATCACTAACCTGTGCATAACACTCATTCCATACTTTAGAGTAAGACTCTAGCGGCAAATCACCATGTCCTATTCTCTGTTTCACATACTCCATTTCTTTCACCAGTAACTTCTTGGCGTCGGCCATTTCTTCTTCGTTGAATTTCTCATACTGGTCTCGCTCCAGCGCTGCCTGATTTGCGGCAATCACCGCCTGAACGGAGTTGCGGGTCTTTTTCTGTTTAAGGAGTTCCACCTGATTGCTGGTTGGATGGTGGACTATATCATTGCGAAGCATTGTGATCATCTCCTTCTTGATTAACTCTTCAGCCTAATGAGAATATGACATGTGATATACTGTTGAACATTCTGTGCCAGTGTAGGTAGTGGCAATAATAAGAAAGCTTCAGATTGATAGGGATACAACTCCCTGAAAAATACAAGGAGAACTTCAATGTTTCGAGCGAATGCCCTTTGTTGGGAAGTTCAGTGCTGAAAAATGTCCGGCACCGCCAGCAGCACTACAGGAAATTTTCTTGCACTTTGCAAGAAATGTTTGTCATCTTATATACAGGAATGCCATATAATTTACTTATTGTTTGAAAATTCCAAATTAAGCATTTTGCAAGTCGAGATGTGCGGTATTCTGCAGAGTCCAACATGTTCACTGAAATTTACATATGCAGGACGTTTTATGGTTGATTTACACAGGAAATTTTAATTTTTGAATTTTGCTTCCAGGTAGATAAATATATTTTCTAGGCCTGGGGGAACTGGTAAGTAAAGTATCGCAACGGTAAGAACTGATAGGCAACAAAGGGCCTTCGCTCGAAACGTCGAAGTTCTGCTTATATTTTTCAGGTCGTTGTATGTCTCCGCAGCAATCTCAAACATTACTTCATACTGTACCTTCTGTAGCGCTGTTAACGGTGGTTCAATGTTCGCTGGACGTAGAACTGTAGTGTTGACATCCGAAGGACGAGGCATGTCGCGTTGAACAGCTTGTGACCATAGTCTGCGTTCTTTTTCCTCTACATAAGATTATTGTATTTACAGTGAAGTTCCATCAATTAAACTTACTAGTTAACTGACGTTATTAGGCATAATCAGATTATGACATAATCAATATCATGAGATTATTGTGATAAAATGATAAAAAAGGTCATCATGCAACTTTAGAGCGTTTGGATTAGAGTTATTGTAATTGTAGACCCATTACAATCCAATACTTTATTGCATACAATGGCTTTACAACGCCAATAGATTACAATTTGCGGTTACAACGTGCGGAACGGCTGTCGGATCCCGTATCAATTGGGCAATATGGCGTTGGCAAATCCGCACCAATGAGCGAGAAACTCAATAAAGTGACTAAACTAAACCACAGTATAGCAAGTTTTGCAGAGGAAGTAGGCAAGTATAGCAGATGAAAAAGCGCACGCATTGACCACTTTGATGCCGAATGATTCCGTCAGTCTATTAGCACATGTGAAGAAACAACAAACTTGAAAAATGTGCGTGAGAATTGTATGTCACCTTCGAGTGTTCTGAGTGCAAGTGCTCTCGCATCAACATCTGACGCATCTTCAACAAAACTACCATCTTTTGTTTTCTCTTCTTCGTCAGGACCAGACTGAAAATAGAAGAACAACATTGGCAATAGCCAAATAGGTTTATAACATGCCATGATTACGATAATAAATACAGTGTGAATACAACTACAAAGTATTTTCTACAGTACCTCAGGGACAACAATTTCAAAGTCATTGGATGGCGTTGGAAGACTTGCAAGACTTTCTTTGAGTCGTGACCTCTGTTCCTCCTGAATATTAGAAAAATACGAAGAACAGTTCAGAACTACTAGAGCTATTCAGTAGAGATAAAGGTAGTATATAAATTTAAGGGATGGTCCTCACTGGACCTCTAGGAAGAACAGTTGAAAAGTAAATAGAGCTATTCGGTATAAGTAAAGTTAGTTTTGTTTATAGCTACAGGTGGGCAGTGAAATGTGGTCAACTATCACTAACCTGCTGTTGTCTAGCCATATGTGCTGACTCATATTCATCAGCCAATGCATCTTCACGATTAATACTCAGTTTATCCCTCACTGATCCTCGTCCGGGTGTTATTGTCCCTTTGGGACCCGGTGTGCCACCCATACGTGGGGTTAAACCTTGGAAAAGGTACCGAAAAGATAATTTATTTTATTTTCATTAAAAAAATTGCGCATTGTGAAGTTGTCTCACCATAAAACCATAGGTCATTGTAGACACTTTGAAGTTTTCCAAATTTCTATTCAAATCACGTTGACTATGAACGCAGGAATGGTTTTAAATATTCAACTACCTTGTCCTTCACTCTGTGGAGTTCTGAAAGGAGTTCCCAGCATCATATTTGGAGTTTTCACATCAGCTCTCTTGGGAGTTACACCTTCAAAACTTGACTCCATAAGTGGAGTGTTCATTCCTCCCTTTAATGGCGTGTCCACTTGATTGAGAGCTAAGATATTTTGTGCTTCCTTGAAGTAGAAAACTTGTCAATTGACTACTCGCTGTATATATCATCATATTGTAGTAGAAAACCTTATCTTGACCATCTTTTTCACTTTCAGAGCTGCATAATATGATGGCCTTAGTTCAGCTTTAGGCCTAAAAAAATACCTGTGGTTCCGGTTTCATATCGCGAAAAAATTAGGGTCGGTAGGTCTGAAATAAATTTTTTTTTGAATATTTTTTTCAATAATTAGTGTGATAACAGACGCCGTTTTGGCAGCAGCCCGCAACCACCCGGAGAAAATAGGGTCGCACGGTCAATCGGGTTGAAAAAATAATAGGGTCAGCAGAAAAAATAGGGAACCACAGGGGTTTTTTTAGGCCTTAGCAGCACAAAACAAAGGCAAACTAATTTATTCATCTAATGACATTGTATCCAGCAATTATGATGGTGAAAACATTTATCAAGATGAGCTTTTCTACAATAAATATACTGTATATAATACATTTCTTCTCAAGTCATCGAGCCAAGTTATAACGGACTACAGATCTTACTAAGACAAACCTGAAGGACAGTATCTTGAGCTGCAGGTGTTCGTGGTGTTCTAAGTTGATTCAGATTGCTAGGTGTAATGGAATATTCAGCTAATAGAGCGTCAGATGCTGTACTCCCTTCTTCAACGCTTGCTCGAGCTGTCTCACTTGCAAAACCCATCTTCACTACCTACAAAGAGACAGCGGCATAATCGTTAGTGCATGTCACCTCCAAGACTTTGATTCCTACAGAACACACGGTTGTCTAATTGTTGTTTCGCCACTACCACATGTAAGAAGATTGTTTCCAGTTTAAATCTATAAAACACTGCAAATTTTCAAAGAGTATTCCGATTTCCTCTTGCAAGGAGCAATAATGGAGGGCCTTTGTGGAAAATCAACAGGCACTAAGGTATTTTGAAAACTTTGGATTGATAGGGATTACACTACCTGAAAACCACTGTACAAGGAAAACTTCTCTACTAACTTCCCAATGAAGGGCAGGCCTTTGCTCGAAACATAGAAGCTTTACTTGTATTTTCAGGTAGAAGTAGAAGAGTTGCATCAACCGAAGTTTTGTTATTAACACTACCTACACTGGCACAGACAGTTCAAGACTAAGCTATTTTAACTGATTTTCGAGCTCTTAATCACCTCTTCCAGTTCAGCATCAGAAACTTGAGGTCTGGGAAGAACAAGTTTACTTCTCTTTTTTATATGATCTGGATTATTTAACCTTTAATAAGAAAGAGCATACATTGCAGTTAATTTAAGAAGGATGTTTAAGTATATGTACAAATATTACAATATTAAGATAATTTACAAATTTTGTAATGTGGATTTTACTTGAAGCCCCTAGACAGGGCTGCCCATGGAATATTTTAAAACAGCAAATTAAAACAGCAAAAACAGTTGTACAACTTTAGGCCCATATTTGACCCTCCTAAATGCACTGACTATTAACTGGAGTGTCCATATTCTGTCAGGGGAGTGCATCCTACAATATCGAGATTTTGACAGGGGAGGGGTACACTCTACCCTTCTTGTACATACTTATTGATCTGCATAACAGCTCCGGGTAAATCACTTTCTTTTCTTTTCTTCATTTTTTCCTTGTCTTTTCTTCTCTCCTCAGCTTCTTTTTGATCTCTCATTTTTCCATCCAGATTGTCCTGTCTCAGTTTCTTAAAGTCTGGTTCGATTGGTGCCACATTCTCCTCAGCGGTATCATAAAAACCTAAAGAAAATGTTCATTTACAAGCTGGGATATATGTGAAATGCAATTCAAATGAAGTAAGTTCTGTTACAATTGTTAGGTTTGTGGTAAATGGTGCACAATTGGTACATACCTGGAGCTGGTTTCTTTTCAAATGGTATTTCAGCATTATAATCCACACCACGCTTCCTTCGTTTATGTTTCTTTATTCTGAAAAAGCAAAAATACATAATCAAATATTTCATTGTCATACAACGGACGAGCAAAGTTCCCGATCATGGTAATCGTTAGTCATGACTCTCCCTGCCTTTCCTGGTTGAAACCATGTTTTTTCGCCGATCATAAATCATTTCTTGCTGGCCACTGATCGGAGGTCAGCTGTTATTTCAAGCCCTG